TAGTGTGTGGAATGTTATATGTGGGCAAAATACCTTGAAATAACGTTGAAACAACGTCAGATTCCGACGTTGAACTAACGTTGAATAATTATTGAATTTGAAAGTTGATCTGACGTTGAAATGCTGACGTTGAATCAACGTCAACAGTTCAACGTTGATTAAATGTTGAAAATTTTACGTTGATTCAACGTTTATTAATGATTGAATTTGCAAGTTGATCTGACGTTGTTTTGCTGACGTTAAACCAACGTGGAAAGCACAACGTTGAATCAACGTAGATACCTCAACGTTGATTTAATGTCGGACATTTTACGTTGATTCAACGTTGATTAATGATTAATGATTGAATTTGCAAGTTGATCTGACGTTATTATGCTGACGTTAAACCAACGTGGAAAGCACGACGTTGAATCAACGTAGATATATATGTCAACGTTGATTTAATGTCGGAGATTCTACGTTGATTAAGCGTTGATTAATGATTGAATTTGCAAATTGAAGCGACGTGGAAATGCCGACATTGAAACAACGTTAAGATCACAACGTTGAGTTAACGTAGACATTTCAATATTGATTTAACGTCGACATCTCTACATTGAAATAGCACTGACATGATGTTGCATTGCAAATTGAATCAACGTATAAATAATCAACATTAAATGACATCCTATTCTTAGAAATATCACAGTTAAATAAATGCAATTTTTGAATCAACATATTTTAAGGCTTATGTTAAGATTTAAAGCCAGAATGTACTGATAATGGTGGATGTTGGCATTTTTTTAATCGTTCTATGTTAAATAAATTTGCAAGCTGAGGAGTGTTGTTAAATCCATGTCGAAATTGAATAACTTTAAATTTAAATGAAATTCTTTATCAATCACTTTAATGTTTTCCATACAAAAATGTATGTATTTATTAATTAACTTCCAACCTTATCAGCTTATACAACACCTTTTAGGTTTCAAAAAAGTAGTAATTAATCCATACATAGTAAAATTCAGAATTAGATTGACTTGTTCCAACAGCATTATAGCCTAAATGAGGGTACTAGTCTCTAAAAAGATACATGATGATGAATTTGATTTCTTTTTTCAAAGAAATGCAGCACTGCCCAGTGCATTTACATCGGAAATATAACACGAGTTAACAAGCATACAGGTACAATTTTTAAACGTCTAAATTCACTTTTTTTCATTTGCATACAATTCATATTAGTTTTTAAAATTTACCTGCAGCACTATTCTATCATATTTATGAAATTTCTTGTGAAATACTGCAAGAGGTTATGCGGCAGACTTGGGCAAGAGCATTAGAAACTATCAAATAGAAAATTATAAAACAAACAGCATTATTCATACAAAATTAATCTGAATGATTCAATTGAACATTCGAACAGGTCAACCAAGAGTCAACAGTAATAACTAAATAATGTACTGTACATAATATATATACATGTACTGTATATAATTATTATAACAGTCCCCCACTTCTCGAACGTGGAAGTTTCAAGATGAAAAGTACAAGATTCGGCAGAGGTTGAATTTCCATCACTTAAAGAGCCTTTACCTGTTACACTTACGGAAAGATACCAGTCACTCCAGAGCAACTTACTGTATTTGAACAATTACTATTGATCAACTGTTCCAATATTGAAATATTTAACACAGTACAAAGGTACGACTGAATGTGAAGGTGCATGGGCCCTCAGTGTGTCCTTCCATCACCTCTTCTTTCAGGCGCAAACTTGACAGGAGATGAAAAACTCAACAAGCAGCAACATCCATCACCTTGCCCGATTACGAAGTTACTAGACCTCGCTAGAAAAGACAAATAAAAGATAATTTAATATTTTAGAATTGCAAGCTTCCTCCCCAACCATCTCTTTATTCATTGACACAACCAAATCACCCTCAAAAACGAAAATGTTACAAACACAAACAGAGAGAAATACATACATAAACCATATTAGTTTCAACAAAGCGACAACACGTTTGGTCATCATTTTATGTGCTGACATTGTGTACAAAAAATCAACAGAATGATTCCTTTTATTAAACTTGCACTTATAAAAACTACCACTTGTATTTCCTGACACTTCAGCAATTATCAACCATACAACCAAGTACCCACACAATGAGATTTTAACCAAGATCAATAATTGGTCAAAATAAATTAAATCTGGCGAAGAAAATTAAATAACCTGCGAAACTGAAAAGGTCCGTCTCCTCATCTGCTTTCTTTCAGTTCCACTCTGCCCATCATTGTTGAACTGTCTTCAATCACTTGGTCATGCACCTGTTGGATGGGAAAAAAAAACAACGCTCAGAGACAAAAGCAAAGACCCATCAGGAAAAAAGATAACGGAAGAGTGTAAACAAACACAAGTTATTATACAATGCACTGTGACGAAACTTCCGCCAACACTCAATTAAGATATAGCCACAAATCTGTTTTCATTTTTGCGTTTTGTTAACGTTTTGAATGAACTGGCCATTGTGTCTGTTGTGCGCACAAGTATAAATGGATTTTATTACCACTTTTGTTAAATGCGATGACTGCAATCAGAGCTACATCTCTTCAAGTGTTATTGACTTAAGAATTTAACATTGTTAATATTGTGACGCAATTTAAACGTATATTCAACTTCAGATTAATGTTGAAATCTGTACGTTGGAACAACGTTACCAAACCGACGTTGAATAGACATGGAATTTCGGTTGTTAATATCGTGACGCAATTTAAACTTTTATTCGACGTCAGATTAATGTCGAAATCTGTACGTTGGAACAACGTTACCAAACCGACGTCAGAGAGACGTTAATTTTAGGTTGTTAATATCGCGACGCAATTTTAACATTTATCCAACGTTAGATTGATGTCGAAATATGTACGTTGGAACAACGTTACCAAACCGACGTTGGATAGACACTGAGTTTTGGTTGATAATATCGCGACGCAATTTCAACCAACATTTAACGTTGGATTAATGTCGAAATATGGACGTTGGAACAACATTACAAAATCGACGTTGGTTAGACATTGAATTTAGGTTGATAATTTAGCGACGCAATTTCAACCAACAACAACGTTGGATTAATGTCGAAATATGGACGTTGGAACAACGTTACAAAACCGACGTTGGATAGACATTGAATTTAGGTTGATAATATCGCGACGCAATTTCAACATTTATCCGACGTTAAAACATCGTAAAACTGTAACATAAAATCAACATCGCAAAAGTGACGTTGAAATAACGTTGTTTTACGGTATTTCGACGTCGTGGCGTCATTTCAACCATCATTCAACGTTGAAACAACGTCATGTGCCCACTGGAGACGGGGTATGTTATGTTTTTTTTTTTTTTTTGTAAAATGGTTAAAGGTAACACTCGTCTGGAGATCGCCACAATTTAGTGCTTTTGAATTTTATTAGTAATCATAATTTCAAGTGTCAGAAATACACTCACACACTTACGGAGAAAATACTGATAAACCTTAGGCGGCTGCTATATCTGCCATGCCTATAGTATTCCCAGCTGCAATATTATGTCAAAGCTGTCAACTTCCGACTAGCGCCGCCGTTATTGAATATTATAGCCAGTGACAAGTCAGTGGGTGAAATCAGGTTCCATGCGCATGCTTGATGCATTTTTTTTTCTTCTAATGGGTGACTTTGTTCAATATTCTAATTATATCTCTGCAATCTATCATTAGTTGTTTTTTAGTTGTAATGAACTGTGATCAGCTGGTTTATTCTCGATTTCTTGGCTCGGCACTGGACAGCACTATTTATTCAATACTGCAATACACACCACACAACTACAGCAATGCCAGTATAACCATAGAGCAAGGACCCAAACAAATCATGTACAGTGAGAAAATGTATACACCGCGTGCGAGTGTACAGTCTGAATGTAACGCGGGTCAGGGGTCATGACAGTACACAATAAGAGTTAGTAGACTAGCCAAACAAGTATGTCGATTGGCGGAATATTACACTCCTCCTCCCTACAATGAAACCTGTCCATTAAATATTTAACTTATGCAAAGCAAGTTATGGATCAATTTTAAAATTCTTAGCACAACTGATAGTTTTAGAAATCACTATATCCAGGTCGAATCGAAAACTATTATATGTTTTTAAAAAAAAATTCAACTTACAACAAATAACAAACATGCTAAACTTTCAAGTACAGGGGTGGGCTACCCTGACTTGCAACAAACTGCACTGAGGATTATTCTGCCTCAGATGTGTGTAGCTGTACTTAACCTATGCGAACATGCAGATGAAGTGTTTGTAAATCCATAGCGATCAGGTGCATTCCTGATGCGATCTGGATATTTCCTGTCAGCTGGTGGAACAGGTTGCAGTTCAGGTTCGGCCGATGCTCGTGGTTCTGGCTGATCGTTGGTTGCTGGAGGGATGACATTTTCCACGGCAGGTTGTTCTGGAAGTGGGACGGCGATAGCAGAGCCGAAGTCAATGTCGGCGGCCAGATTGTGTGACTCGTGATGTGGTTCATGTGGTACGCTCTCTTGTTGACGAAGATGATCAACATGTCGTTTGATCTCGCAACCATTGTGAACTAAGCGGATTTTGAAGGAGACTGGACCAGCATAGCCTGTAATGGTGCCTGGTAGCCAAAAGTAGCCAGTCTTAGTGAAGTTGCGAACTACTGTGTAACCAATCTCAAACACACGTGTCTTGGCGTGCTTGTCGTGATGATGTTTCTGTTTTTCCTGTTGTTTGATGACACGCTGAGCTACATCAGGGCGAAGCTGATCAAGGTGGGAGCGTAAGCGTCGACCCATCAGCATTTCCGCCGTTAGCTTATATTCCCCGCAGATTCTCACGGAAGACTTGTCTGACTTGAGGACTGGAACTATGTGCGCTGCCCACTCGGAGAACTCAACCGGTTCGATGATGCCTGCAGCTTGCAGACGGTGAAGTTCATTGTCCACAATGTTCGCATTGCGTACGGTACTACGCGACCCGCGTGCTTTGCAGAATCGTGGTCTGACGTCCTTGTCGAATAGATCTTGGCGGATGTTCCCTTCAAGGTACCCAACTCATCCTTAAATACTGCAGAATGAGTTTTGAGTACTTCCTCAACACTAGTAGTCGCGTGCAGAATGTTGATTTGCTGCCAGTTTGAAGCCAGTTTCGTCCAAGAAGGTTTGGTCCATCGCCTTTAACAACGAGTAGCGGAAGGTTGAACATCCTTGCGTTGTAGTCAACTTCCACATTGAAGTTTCCGAGAACTGAAACTTGTTCCCCGATGTAGGTGCGGAGTTTGAGTTTTGTCTTCTGCAGGTTCGCGTTTGGCCACCGTGACTTAAATGTCTGTTCTGATACAAGCGAAAGCGCTGCTCCGGTGTCAACCTTCATGACGAGGTCGTTGTTGTCAACGGACATGGTGACTTTGATTGCCTTCATGCCCTGGCGGTCAGTGGAACATCCGAAGAGCGAGTACACGGGTGTGATCATGTCAACATCAGACGCATTCTCATCGCTTTCAGTGAAATTACTGTCCACAGCGGAACTCATTTGCTTGACATGTGGTGTTTTTCCACCTTTACCACTGATACAGACACTCGCGATATGTCCTCGTTTCTGGCAGTTGAAACAAGTATTGTTCTTGAATCTGCACTTGTCGGAATGGTGGTTGCCTTTACCACAGCGATAACAGGGTTTCTACACATGCTGTTGCTTCTTCCTTGCACTGAATGTATAGGTTTTCGTGCAACTGATGTTTGGCTTTGCGACATTTTGTTCAATGTTCGGTCACTATGGGTTTGCGTGGCCTGCAAATCTTTCACATCTTTCAATGGCCGCTCTCTCCATGCTCAGAGCCGTTGCCAATGCTTTCTCAAGTGTCAGAGTTTTTTTCAGCAAGCAGGCTAGGTTGAATGCGGTCATTTCGGACACCGCAAACTAATCGACCCCGCAACATATCGTCCAGTGTGCCTCCATAGTTACAAAATTCTGCGAGGGAACGCAAAGCAGCGACATATTGGGCTACAGACTCACCCTCTTCACGATATCTGCTGTTGAACTTGAATCGTTGGACGATTTCCGACGGTACTGGGTTGTGGTGTTGAGTCATACATTTGACCAGTTCCTCATAGGATTTGTCTCCAGGTTTAGCGGGGGGCCACGAGATTGCGAAGCAACTTGTAGGCGTCGGGCCCAATCACAGTGAGAAGCACGGCTTGTTTCTTTGCTGCAGTCGTGACATCGTTGGCGACAAAATAATGTCCCAATCTTTAGACGTACTGCAACCATTCCTCTTTTCCTTCGCGAAATTCCTCGATTTTACCATTCACGGCAGCCATGGTAATTAACTGTCCTCGTCGCCAATTTGTAATGAACTGTGATAACCTGGTTTATTCTCGATTTCTTAATTGGCTCGGCACTGGAGAGCATTATTTATTCAACACTGCAATACACACCACACAACTACAGCAATACCAGTACATGTATAACAAATCATGTACAGTGAGAAAATATATATACACCGGTTGTGAGTGTACAGCCTGAATGTAACGCGGGTCAGGGCCGGGTCATGACAGTACACAGTAACAGTTAGTAGAGTAGTCAATCAAGTATGTCGATTGGCGGAATATTACATTTACCGGGATTATTACAATAGTACTGTATCCATTCATGGAATAATTGCATGAAAACCTCACATTTCCAAGTTTGGCTATGCACATTTTTTACTTATTACTGTCTTTATCCCTTTTGTAGTGAACGCATTGGGGGGGGGGGGGTGCACTCAAATAGTTGAAAGTTTAATTTTAAGCGAAAATTACGCTGCCTACCAGCAGTGATTAAAGGGTCGTACTCCCGACAGCAACCTAGCTCCTTCAGTTTGTCTGGCTGCAGGTGGAACGTGTAGCACACAAACTGCGTAACGGTTTTTGCAGGTATGGAAAAGACGTCCATCGCCAAATTGAATAGAATAGCCATAAAGACTCAGTCCTTGCACAGGGCGCCCTCAGGAAAATTAAGAGTATCAAATCGCGCGTAGACTTGATGACAAGTGAACTGCAGTCGAACTCCATCGGCGCGGCTGGTATAAAACTAGTACGTAATCGGCCGGGTTGCGACATATCGTACGACATGACGATTATGTTCCCGCACCGTTATTCATATATGCAAGTGTGACAGGGCCAAGTTTTACTTGTAGTTTTTACTGTATTTTTTGTAGTGTTTTAGGATAGGAGTAGGCCCCCTGAATAAATCACCCCTTTTTATTAGATGTCCCCTACCCATTCATAGAAGTGTGTACCCCTGATTAACTTTTCCCTCTTCCCCAGTAACATGACCCCTTAGAACAATAGCCCATTTGATAAGCCCCGTGTGCTCCTGCCACCCTGTAAGACCACAGACCCCTCATGATCAGTAGCAGACCAGCGGCAGTAGAGAGAGGAGCGTGCATTTTATTATCTCTCTTTTAATTCAGTCCCCTTGATTTTCTTGGGTGCGACTTGCCCTGTGTGAGCTTTTATCTGCTCGAGTAATTATTGGTGAGTTCTGATATATGTTTTTTTTGTATTTTCTCATTAAGTGTATTATTAAGTTTTTTAGAAGTTTTGATCTGTTTTGGTATTGTTCAGAGTTTTGACAATCAAGTTTTATAGAATTCCTGAACAGCCTTGTAAGTTGCAGGAATTATCACTTGAAGTTTTTAGATTGGGTTTATTTAGAAATTACTTGAAGAAAGTTAGCTTATATTGTTTGATTTGATTGATCAGGATCGTTAGACATGTTAGAGTTCTGTTATCTTTGAGGAAAACTGTGTTGACAGAAGTTTGATTTATTTCATTGACTTAATTTCCGAGGAATGACTTGGATAGATGCATATTGCATTGCCTTTTGATTATTAGGTTAATTGTTGATTTGATACTTTTTCTTTTGACATCTGATTTCAGTTTTGGATGGTGTTTTCTTCATTACTTAATTGTTTTATTGTGCCAAGAGGAGTGGTTTTCCCACAGACTTTTTACTGATTAGTTTGCCATGTTTATTCATTAGTTAGACCTGTCAAAGCTGCTCGTTTACTGTAGACCTGCATTTCCTTTATTTTGTATTTAGCCACCTGTTCCATTTAGTTATTCTTATCTGCTTTGGACCTGTGCAAATTTAATTACTGTTCAGGAATGTTGAATTACCCCCTTGGTGGTTAGTCTCACCTGGCATTCAGAAGACAAGGACCACTGTTTATCTTGCTCATTAAATATTCACAAGAGATTTTGGTGTTCTTGGCAAGACTGTATAGCAGGTCCACATGGCATTGTTTATATTACTTTAGACCTAGTGTAACCTGGGTTGTTTGCATTGTTTACTTGTTTCTTATTATGTTCTTTACTCTCTTATCTTGTTAACAGATTTCTGCCAGAAGTGTCTTTAAGGTCCACTTTATACAACACTGTGTTGGTTAAATACTTTTGGTTTTTAACTTGGTTTGAGTCTTTGTTTTTTTTTAGGTTTTTAAGTTGGTTTTAAGTTTCTTTATGTTTCTTTAAGTTGTTGGTTTTAGGGGTTAGTCTTTGCTCTTACTTGATTTTCGTGGTCTTGGTTTTATAATTATCTGGTCATTTTGAAAGTTCTTGTAAATAAATTCTTTTTGTTTTGTTTTTTTGGTTCGAAATCTAGAATTTGTGTCCCTTGTCCTTATTAATTCAGTCTCCTCGCGACTTTTCTCTTCACAGATCCTGAGTTTAGTTCAGTTGTAGTGGCTTTAGTGCGAGTTCCCCATAGTGCGTCATTTTTCCAGGTTACACAAGCAGCGCAATAATGCAGTGCATTTTTGCGGTGAGATCCAATCGCTCACCGCTACGCAAATGAGGACTCATTCATTCCGTTACATGGGGAGTTCTCCTTATTACATCAGGGACATGTTTGAAGATCTGGCGACGTTTTAAAGACCACTTCCCTCAGCTTCGCCAATGGTGTCTAAAAATAAAATGTATTATTGTGATATACTTGATTTATTTCGAAGTCGTGTATGTCCTATAATGAATTTTGCAATGTTACACATCACAGAGTACAACCCTTGAAGTAATGAGAACGATCTTCCGTGGCGGCCTAGAATACGCTCTGGAATCTGAACCAATCAGAGTGCTCGCATAGAATTTGCTAGCGATTCAAAATGCTCCCATGTGTTGTGTACAAAATTGAAAACGTATTCGCCAAGTCGGTAATTCAACATCAGTAGTCAGCATCATTTGGTCTGGGAACCAATCTACGCGCATTGCAGCGGTATAGGGCACGCGTGGAGCCAGCAACCGGTCTTATGTCTATGCCGGTACCGTACGCAAAACGATTACCGACTTGGCACCAAGTCTAGCATAGTACCGACGTTTGTTCGCTCGTACCCCGCCCTGCAAACATTGCGCTGGGAAGGGATGATGCCGCTGCTCAAAATCTTGTGAAGGAAGTACAGGTGACATTATGGATAACTTATCATGACTTTGGCACATGGGCGTCGCCAGGATTTTTTCTAGAGGGGGGCAAACAAAATTTTGACCAAAAATGCTTGTATTTTTCAACACATTTTCGATTTATCAGTTTTAGAGGGGGCAGGGACATTTTGCCCCCCCCCCCCCCAACTCATTAAATTTACACCACTTTGTCTTCGCGCCTCTTTTTTTTTTTTTTTTTTCTTTTTATGCGTCTTTTTTTTTTTTTTTTTTTTTTTTTTGGCTTTTCCGGGGGGGGGGGGGGGCAAGCTTTGGCATGTAGCTAGCGCTCGCTACGTATGATAAACAGCAGCAGTGCTGATTGTACGTCACTGGTCACGCAAAATGAATCAAATGAGAGCTCGAAGAGATCAGCCCGGCCCAGCGTCCTGTTTGCAGGGCGGAGGTACGAGCGAACGAAAAACGAATTTAGATCTGCCCACAGTTAGGGCGCTCTGCAGGGTGAGTAAAAAACCCGAAGCCCCTAATGTTTGAACCATTGTTTAAGTGAAGTTCTACATGTAGCACTTTCAAAATCTGTTATATAAAAACCCCATACCTATAAGCTTTCTTTTAGTACAAGAATCATTTAAATCACTTACGTACTTTTCAAGTTAGAGAATTTTAAACACAACCACCGTTTTAAGGTTCTGTCCACAGATCACAATAAAGTTCAGTGCTCTTTCAGCAAAACGAAAACATGGGGATGTGTGTGAATTGTTTTCGTAATGCACACCTTTTTGTGTGATGCATGGACAGAACTTTAAAACGGTGGTTGTGTTTAAAATTCCGTAACTTGAAAAGTACGTGAGTGATTTGAATGATTCTTGTACTAAAAGATTTAGGCTTTAATGTCCTAGATTTTGAAAGTACTACACATGAAGAACTTCAATAAAACAATACTCCTGACATTTGGGTTTCGTTTTTTTTTTACCCTCCCTGTTTATGCGAGCGGTCCATTGAATATTACTCCATTACTTTTCATCCATTGAATCTGCAGCTGTTGCTCTCAAGTGCTACACGTGTGCTGCGGGTGGATTCTGTACTGACGGCGAGATTGGCCAACTTCAGACTTGCCCGAGTCTCCCTGGCTTCAAGTCCGATCAGTGCGGCAAATTTGACGGAGAAATATCCGTATCTATTGCAGGTGGTTCATTTGGTTTAATGTCTTCCTTCGTAAGAAGAAACATTAATAGGCCATTACTTTTTAGCCAATGGAGGGCGCTTTAACGCGCGCTTTTTCCTGGCAGGATAAAGTAAAAGTTGAATTTGAACTAATCTACCACACTGATAGACACGTTTTACAAGAAGTACTGGCCAGTCCCCAAGCGGTAACAAATTTAGAAGCTGACATGGCAGTCGATCATAAGTAAGAACACCCTCAACTTTCTTTCAGGAGAAAGATGAATGTAAATTGTGATCTATTCCCCCCCAGGAGGCAAAGTATCTCTCAACGGAGTTACTCGCGATTGCGCCATGATCCCGGAGAATGTGGACGCCCCACCCCTCCGGTGCTTATCTGGCTCCGAGGCTACTGCTTATTTCCGCTACATAATCGAAAGTGTGGTTCCTGAAGGCACCATTCTCGGTGAAAACCCAGATTTCCAGGTCACCGGCGACCTCTGCTACTGCGCAGATGACGGCTGCAACGGAGTAGACTCCCTGAAGCCGTTACTTTGGCTGATCCTCATCGTGGGCTCGATGCACTTGATACTGAAGTAAGTGGCGGCTGGTGTGAATAAGGCTATCAAGAGGTGGATTTGCTCACGGCCGTACAAGTTGTAGATTACAGTTGCTTTGATTATAATCAGCAGCCACGCCTATCGTTAAATATTTAGCACACCCGTATGCATTTGCACACAATAATGGGTGCTATGTGTATTGTACTTTGATTGGTACGAGTATAGTACTCTTGGCTGTAAACAGCAATGTAGCAATAATAATGAAAGTCATGTGACTAGCTCTCATCGCCCAATCAAGATACAGTCTGTGGGTAAGGTGTTATAAGTGTTCAAAATGGTACATGTTTTTCAAGGATGCTGGTGATTATTGTTTTAATATCCATTCATTAAAAATCAACTGTGCGTTGTTAACAAAGTAACTCTGGGTTATCACTTGTCAATTCAGGCTATTCACAATGCAGTGCACCACCAAGAGTTTGCCACGGAGAGTTCATTATTCACAGTGCATTGTGGGAAATGATCTACAAATTTCGCGGAGCGGGCTATTGAAATTGTTTTTTTTTCCCCGGTCAGTAGTTTCGTCCAGTAAGCTATGATTTGAGGATCTGTTTGGCCTTTTCTTTTCTTTTTATCAATACGATGTTTTTGTGAGGCTGCAGAACGCTATGCCCTATTATGTAACATATTAGCTAAAGTGTGTACTGACATTTATTCAAATGGGCTATGTTTTGTCCACTGTAGACTTGAAAAATAGACTCTCCGTGGCAAACACTTGGTTGCGCACTGCAATGTGAATCGCCTGAATTAAACAAAACCAATTTTTCATTCTACTAGCTCGCCCTCTTCAGTACTTGGCCGTTCTGGTCACTCTCGGTACCAATAAACCGATCCAGTAAGCCCCGCCCAGTGCGCATTTGTTTCAGCCGCGTGCGTATCATGCGCGTTCACGCATGTCAGACTTCTGTGCACGCATGTCGGACAAAAATAACGGCTGTGATTGGTCAGAACAACATGGGGCGGGGCCATGGGCGGGGCTTCCTGGATATGTATATTGTGCGCACGCGGATTTGTACCAGCCTCTCCCACATACTTATCTAACATGGCTAAACCTGCACTACATCATTATATTTACTGCTTTCTTAGGTAGTTTTATATCATTTATTATTAGGATTTATAAAATAAATAACATTTCACATTTTTATTTTCCCCCTTAAATTGTCAAATATGAAAATCAAGGAAATTGATATCGTATTTGTTGTTATCAACTTGAACGAGTTTTATTTTGTGTTTTGATATAATGTCAGTCGCTGAATCATCACAAAAGAGGCTTATATTGCCAACAAAAGAGGCTTATATTGCCAACAAAAGATGCTTATATTGCCAAAAAAAATGGTGATATGAACTATGCAAGTTTCCAAAAGGAAAACCTACGCAGGTTTAATTATTCGAGCATGTAATAATATGCAATTATTCACTGGTTTGTTTGTTGATACAGATCTTTCTTCCTCCACTAACGATTACAGTGTTTATAATGTAGGAAGGGGTGTGATGAATGCAGCCACTTCAAAGAAAGAATTGATGGCATGATTTTAAATGTGCTGTGTTTTTATAACTGACTGTTTTCTTTTCTTTATGTGGACCATTTCTCTTTATGTGGACTGTGTGGTATGTTACCCAGTTTCGTGTGAAGTAAAGACAATTTCCAAGAATTATTCCGCTCAGAGTAAAAGTGACCGAAATCGTTCACAGTTACCCGGCTACACGGGAGCTGATACCTGTATACGATCGAACTGAGGACGCTATTTTCATAGCGCCCTCTTGGGACAAGTTTATGAGTTATACTACGCCGTGAGGAATGTCAACCTTTATCGAAGTAAAGTTGCCACCACCAAGGCTTGTGTTCCTTGGTGACGCGTAAGTTTAGATTTTGGTCCCCCAACATCCTTTAGATTTCTGTCATCGACGTTTAGCATTATTTTAGGCATGGCGGCCATAAGGCGATAATTCGCCTATTTCGTGTTTTAAATGGGGTCCTCCTATACTGGCAGCCATATCTCACAAGTGCTAGCGATTCAGCCTGTGCCACCAACTTTTTTGGAAGTGGCACCAGTTAATTCGCTGTCGTAGTGTGACGTCACCTCCTCCCCAGGTTAGGCTCACGTCCTCGACGTTGGTGTACGCGTATTCCGTTATGACGCATAAGGCTTAACACACACATCAGTGACGGCAGTATTACATCCTATCTTACTAGAACATTTTCACGAAATAGTACCTGAAACGGGCAAAGTGTTTTACAGTAGATTGTCACCACACCAGGTAAACACACAGTCTGTTGTGCGTATTTACGCTTGATTCAAGCCAATTATAAAACTTGGGTTTACACGGCCAAAGCAAACCATTGTATTCACGTTGGTGGCCGTTTGTATGCGCGAATTATTCGATAATCATGGTTGGACTGAATTGAGATCTGAGTGACGTCACGACTACAGCAACAAATTGAAAGCGTGCTTCAAAAACATGACGTCACTTTTACCCTGAGCTGATTGTTTTTAAGAGTAACAATTTGTCACGCGTTTGTTCCAGCATTAGTACAAATTAATGTCTGGAATGTCTCTTTGATAAACTGACGTTTTGAGAGACGTGTCAATAAATAAAGATGTTGTACTTAATTAAAAACACTTGTGGCTTTTCCTTTCTTTTAATTTTTTGTTTTACATATTGCTGCTTTTGTTGATCAGATCAAGTTCATTCTCACAACACCTAGTTAGAAACCCACCAGGAATTACTGCAGTGTATAATTAGTTTGTTTGTGTGTATGCAATTGAAGTGTACCATTTTAAAGTGCTCGTTGGTACTCTACCTCCGGCCAGACCTCATACACGCAAAGCATTCAAAATTGTACGTTTTGTTCCAGCCAAAAAAAACGAGGATGATTTTTTTTCGAGAAGCATTTGGCCAAGATCTGCCCAATCTCAATCTAAATACCGGAAACTCCGCCGTGGATAGACCATTATTAAAAAAAATTGCTCAGAGTGAAAACAAAATAAGAACATGGCGCTTTCGTCATTGACAGAACATTGCCATACCACTGAAAGGTATGAAAATATTTGTAATCCCCTGTATCATGTGTTGTTAAAGCCGTGCACTTTCCACATTAATGTCCATGCAAATTTCTGATTATTGAGGCCGCAATTTTGTCGTGCCATCTCCGGAACTGTTTGTTAAAAGAGATGCGACAACTATGAATTTGGACTCCATGCAAGAGAGGATCAAAGATTTACCCCCCCCCCCCCGGGCCCTCGACTGACT